TTAATTATTCTGTATTATCCATGTGGGCCCAATGCAGTTACAAGAGTCCTTAAAAATGAATGACAAAAAAAGATGAAGTCAGAGTGATGCAATGTAAGAGAGTCTAGACCAGCTTTTCGTAGATTTGCAGATAAAGGAAAGGGGCTGTGAATCTGGAAATAAAGACATCTCTAACCCAGTGCCCTAAAGTTGGCTCAGCAGAACGCTCCATCATGCGTCTGAAGCCATTAACCTTTGTGGAAGGAGAAAGCCCATCTTTCTCCTGGCCAGCAGCTGTATACATTATGCACAGTGCCACCAGGGATATATACAGGGGCCCCAGGAAGCTAGAAAGGCAAGGAAGCACATTACCCCTAAAGTTCCCAGAGGGAGCACAGCTTTGTTGACAACTTGTTTTAACTAGGGAGACCATGTCAGACTTAAGACTACAGAACTGGAAATAGCATATCTGTGCTGCTTGTGATTTACAACACATACAACTAAAGCAAAACAAAACTAACAAAAAAACCCCTAAATTACCTTCTAGTGAGGGACATCATGCTTGGTAGGGTGGAGGGACAGAGCAGGAGGGGAAGGCCCTCTTGAGGTGGATTGATTCAGTGACTGGGGTAATCTCAATGGGTGTATCAGAGACAGTGCAATTGGCACAGGACCGAGGAGAGTTTAGGGCTGTTGTACATAGGGTCGCTATGAGTCGCAAGCGACTTGGCAGCACATAACAACAACCACCTTCTAGTCAATTCCAAGTGATGACAACCCATCAGATTTCTAAGACTGTGAATCTGTTTTTTAAATTGTGATTTTAATGAAAGTTTACAGAAAAGTTAGATATTCGTTCATCCATTGTTGCACATTTTCCTCCTTATCCCCCTAGTTCACTTAAACAAAATTCATTCATTGTAGCATAATTTTTTCCTCTCTGTTCCACCCTCCCCTCCAGTCCACTTTGCTATGCGGACTGTTGTCATAATCATATATTCCTTTTAAACAGTTAAAACTGTAAATCTTTATAGGAGAGTGCCTCATCTACCCCCAAGGAATATCTGGAGGGTCTGCACTGCCAACCTTTTCACAAGCAACAAACTAGGCCCCCAAGACTCCTAGTAAGTCATTGGCTGTTGCTAGGTGCCATTGAGGTGAGTACAACTCTTAGTGACCCTATGAACAACAGACCTGAACCAACCCAGTCCTATCCTGTGCCATCTTCATTGTCTCACTTGAACCCATTGCTGCAGTCACTGTGTCAGTCCATTTCATTGGGGGTCTTCCTCTCTTTTGCTGACTCTCCTCCTTTCCAAGCATGATGTCACTTTCTAAGGCATAGCCTATCCTAGGAGCGTGCCCAGAGTATGAGAGTTAAAGCTTCGTCATCCTTATCTCCAAGGAGTATTTTAGTTTGTGCTAATTTTTTTATCTCAACAGTATGAAACTATGCAATGCCATTTTCATAATTCCTCTACCAGTATAAAGTGTTAGAAGGTTGGTCTAATGCCTGAGATACTGCCTCGTGCATAGAGTGAGCTTTTTACATTAGGGAAGAGGCAGGGTCAAGCAGTCAAGTTTTTAAAGGATACATATTGTGTGTTACTGCAGATTATTCTGAAGTCACAGTTCTCATCCTATTTGGGTTGAGTAGACATGATAGACTCAGCAAAGGAGGAATGTCAGTAATTAGTTCAGAAGAGTAACAAATGGCGGTGCTGGTGATAAGTGATGTCATTCAGAGAGACTTACATCATTAGTTAGACTATCTATGAAGAGTGATAATGGTTACCCATGGTGCACAGTGTTTGGTGGAGCTCCCAAATTAAAATAGGCTTAGAAGCAGGAGTGGCATCCACTTCTGAAAGAGCTTGTCTCCGGGAACTCTATGAACTTAGAGAAATGATGAAAGTTATGTGTGTTCAGGACTTTCATTCTTAGGGTCACTGTGAGTCCTCTATGACTGGAGAGCACATAACAACAACAACACAACAACATATAAGGAGAGGGGCACTCTGGTGGGCTAGTGATAAGGAGCTGCGCTGCCAGTCTAAAAGCATGTAATTGAAATCCACCAGCTGCCCCAAAGCAGAAAGATGGGCATTTTCCTCCCATAGAATTTACAGACTCTGAAAACCTGCTAGAGGGTCAACTGTGGGTCATTGCCAACTTGAAGGTACTCAACAACAACAAATAGGAAGAAAAATATGGCATCAAGATTGGAGAAGGACTCATGAACAGCCTGTGTTATGCAGATGGCACAACCGTGCTTGCAGAAAGTGAAGAGAACTTGAAGCGCTTGCTGCAGAAGTTCAAAGACTACAGCTTTCAATATAGATTATATCTTAACATCAAGAAGACAAAACTCCTCACCATTGGAGCAACAGGCAACATCGTGATAGATAGAAAAAAGACTAAAATTGTTAATGATTATGTTTTACCCGGATCTACAATTGAGACCTGTGGTAGCAGCAGTCAAGAAATCAAAAGATATGTTGCAGTAAGAGGCTAAAGAGCATGTATGTCTGTTTAAAGATCAAGGTGCTCCTGATCCAAGCCATGTTCTCTTCAGTTGCTTCCTAGGTATCTGGAAGTTGGACAGTGAATAAGGAAGATATAAGAAGAGTGGGTAACTTTGAATTGTATCTGAGGAGAGGACTGCCAAAAAACCAAATAAGTTTGCCCTGGAGGAAGTACAAGCAGAATGCTCCTTAGAGAGGAAGGATTGTTAAACTTCATGTCACGTACTTTGGGCATGTTGTGAGGAGTAGCCAGTCTTTGGAAAAGGACATCGTACTGTGAAAGTTGGAGCTTCAGAGGAAGAACTTCAACAAGATGGACTGACACAGGGTTATAGCGTTGCTATGAGTCATATTCGACTTGATGGTACCTAACAACAGCCCTGAAGGAGGTAGACTTAACACCAATTCCTGAAGGAAAGAACCTCATTTGGAGAACTTCAGAAAATTAGATGGTAAAAGCCATGTTGAACGTGGCCATTGATGTCAGAACAATTTTGAACTTTCTCCCTTAAGTTATTTTTTTGGTTTCCTGAGGACACTTGCTGTTGTCATTGATGTTGTAATAGGAGTCATTTGGTCAGCTCCAATTCATTCCAATTTAATGCACAGCACATGGAAATGCTGCTTAATCCTGTGTTATCCTCACAATCTTATGTGTGTAAAGCCCATTGTCACCACTGTGTCAGTCCACTTCTGTGAGGGTCCTCCTCTCTTTCACTGACCCTCTATGAGCATAAAGTCTTTCTCGAGGGACTAGCCATTCTTGATAGCATGCTCAAAGTACATAAAGTCAAAAGTTCCTCAAAAGAAGGATTGCAAGTTTTGAAAGAGGTGAGGAAATGACCCACATAGATAATTTGAGGGAGCCGAGTCCAGGAGGATGGAGCGGCCATAGTAAAGACCCTAAGGTGTAAGCTTGTCTGGCAACAGTGTAGGCTTTCAGGGAACCAGTGAAGTAAAGAGTGAGTAGTTTAAGTAGAAGCAGAAGTAAGAGGGAAATGGATTATAGAAATTCATCTCAGCCATGGTAAGGATGTTAGCTTACACACCTAATACTTATTTACTATCTTGTCAACTGACATTTCACATTTAGAAAAAAAAAACCCAACACAAAACAAAACCAGTCCTCTCCTGTCTGTCTATTTTGTGCGTCACCAATGCACATATGGTAGTAATGAATGCTGAAGTGCAAGGCAACAGGGATACCGGATGTGATGGTTAAGGTATGTGTCATCTGGGCTGTGCCATAGTTATCAACGGCTTGGTATTTATGTACTGATATAATTTGGCAGTCATGTGATGATGTAGTCATCCTACATTTTTCACATAATTCCAATTTTTGCTTAACAACTTGGTTGTTAGAACCTAACCATGTCAATGAATGGTGAGTGAGTATTCTCTGGGCAAAGCAGGAAATCAATAGAATGTTTTCATCAAAGGAATGATATGATATGGGTTACCTTTTAAAAGGAAATAAAATCATTGCTGCTATGTTGAGAATAGATTGTAGAGTAATAAGGGATACAGAGAGCCTTCATGGCACAAATAATTATGTACAGATTAGATGCTGGCCAAAATGTTGGCCATTCAAACACACCCAGTGGCTCCATGGGAGAAAGATCTGGAAATCTGCTTCTACAAAGATTACAGCCAAGTAAACATTTGTCAATTTTACTGTTCCATGGAGTCCCTGCTGGTGTTAGGTACCATCGAATTAAGACTCATACCAACCACTGACATTCAAGAAGATATATGCACACCCATGTTTATTGTGGCTTTGTTCACAATAGCAAGGAATTGGAAACAACCTAAGTGCCCATCAACAAATGAATTGACAGAGAAGCTGTGGTATA